ATTCTCTCTGTCTCAAATAAATAAATAAAATCTTTAAAAAAAAAAAAAAGAAATTTTGTTTGTCTAAAGAAACCAGGAAGAGGGTGGCGACGCTAACCTAGGGTGGGAAAGGATATTGGCAGTACACATAAGCAACACGGGACTGCATCCAGGGAAGGTACCTATGATGAAGACGAAGCAGACAACACAGTAGAGAGAGTAAAAGACCCGTAAGGTGGTCACGAGAGGAATGCCCAGATGGTGAATAAGCTCTGGAAATGGTGGTCGGTCACAGCGGTAATCGGAAACGCAAATGAGATGGCATTGTACACACGGGCAAAAATTCTAAAGTCAAACAATACTAAGTGCTGATAAGGGAATGGAGCAACAGGTTCTGACATCTAGCTGGTGGGAGTGTAAATTGGCCTGAACCCTTGGGGAAATAGTTGGGCGTTTTCTAGTAAAGTTGAAGATAAGACCCGTCCCATGACCTGGTGGTTCCACTCCTGGGGCTGTTTTCTAAGGACGCCAGTACACCTGGACCTGAATGCGTGTTCACCGCGGCTTTATTTATAACAGCCCCCAAGGCTGTCCATACCAGTGAAAACGAACAAATGACAGGTGAATTTCAGTGCTGAGCAAACAAAACAAAACGTCAAATAGTGTGATTCCATTCACGTTAAGCTGACAAGTGGATTCTTGCTCAGTAATCTCCACTGGTGGTAAAACTAGAAAAAGCAAGGAAATGCTTATTGCAAAAACCAATAGTAGAAAGAGGTGTGATGACTTTTGTGGGAAGGAGGCACGTGTGAGGAGTAGGGGGCTTGGGGGCGGGGGTGGCAGTTTCCATGTCTTGACCCTTGTGGGGGAAATACGGGCATTGACAAAGTATCTGCTAACTAAGCAGATAGGTTCTGTGTGCTTTTCTGAATATTAGCTACATCTCCGAATAGTAGAAGGATAAAAAGGAAACCAAAAGTAAAGCCCCAGGAATAGAGCGATTATGTGATTAGTTGGAGATCATGATGGTTATAGTACGAATGAGGGTTCAGTGCAGGGCCGGGTCTGGAAAGTGAGCAGCCGCCCCGGGAGGGTACCAGGTGGCCAGAGCAGGGCCCAGCTTGTGTTACAGACCACTTCCTGGGAGGGCGCCGGCCCGACTCCCAGACTGAGCTGGTAATTCAGACAGTCCCTAGAGTTTCAGTCTGTTTCTGATGCTTTCCTGGATGGGTCCAGGGTCACCTCAGAGTCCCCTCAGCCTTGACCCTTTGTGTTGTGATGCTGTCACGTGGGCCTGGGCTGCTTAGGCAGGAGCTTGGCGGGCCATGGCCTTCCCCTACCTCAGTCCTGATACTGCCAGACTGTTGCTGATACTCTTTAGGTAATGGAGACTCCCTCCTCCACGACACCCTTCCTGTGGCTCCTGCCTGTGCTGGTTGTCAGGTTTTGCCTCTCGTGGTTCTGGCACTGGGATCCACCCAGCAGAAGACTGTGGGATGCGCTGCCTGTTTCTTCCTCCCTGTGGGCTCTTCCCTGTGCCGCCCACAGACTGAAGGAGCTGGAGTCTGCTTTCTCATCTCTCGCCTGGGGCTCAGGCAGTGTCTGTGACACGTTGGTAGGTTGAAACCCTTTATCTGGGCCCTTTATTGCATCCCACACAAGTTCCTGGTTCACTCCTAGAGCAGCAGGAGACAAAGGGCATCTAGAATGTACCATGTGACAGTGTGGCTTCAGAGATCCAGCCCCAACTTAGCCTGCAGGACAAAAGGGACCAAGGCCCAGAATGTTGGAGAAAGCAGACCCAAGTGGGGACTCGTGGGAGGTTATTTAAATGTCAGCCCAAGGGGCGCCTGGGTGGCACAGTGGGTTAAGCATCTGACTCTTGGTTTTAGCTCAGGTTGTGATCTCGGGGTCGTGAGATCGAGCCTCGTGAGATCGAGCCCCACATCGCTCCCCATGTCACACCCTGCACTTTGTACAGAGTCTGCTTAAGACTGTTTCTCCCTCTCTCTCTGCCCCATCCCCAAAAGTAAATAAATCTTAAAAAAAAAAAAAAAAAGTCAGCCTCCAAACTGCTCAACAGGCTGTGCCTGGCCAGGGGACGTGGAAGTCAGCAAATACTGACCAGTGTTCCTTCCCTGCTGTACCCAGCCAGAACTTGACCCCTTCAGCCAGTCTAATCATGAGTGCTTGGATCTGGCCCAGAGCTTGGAGTGAACCCAACTCCCGTGCTCTGGGGTCCCAAAGGGATCCCGCTGACCCTGGAAGAAAGTAAGGAGAAACTACGGGACAGACCCAAGCTCAAGACACGCCTTCCCACTCTGCCCCAGTAGCAGACCCGATGGTGTGAAAGGCTGAGAGTCTGTGCTCATGACTATCAACCTCCTTCCTTGTTGCCCCCCTCCCTGCAGGGACCCAGGGCTCTTTCTACTGTCACTCCTGGCCTTGGCTGATAATAGCCTGAAGGAGCCAGCCAGACCTGGTTCTGGTCTCAGTTCCTCCTTGACTTGCTGTGTGACCCGGAGCCACTTGCTCACTGTTCTGAGCCTCATCTCCTCTGCCACCTGGTGCAGGTTTGTAAAGATTCAAGCAGCTAATGAACTAAAGCCCCTGGCACTTAGGAGCACGCCTCCACAGATGGGATTTTTTTTTTTTTTAAAGATTTTACTTATTTATTTGACAGAGAGAGACACAGCGAGAGAGGGAACACAAGCAGGGGGAGTGGGAGAGGGAGAAGCAGGCTTCCCACTGAGCAGGGAGCCCGATGTGGGGCTCGATCCCAGGACCCTGAGATCATGACCTGAGCCGAAGGCAGACACTTATCGGCTGAGCCACCCAGGCGCCCCCACAGATGGGATTTTTAATCACGGTTGGATCCTTGGATCGCAGCTTTCCTTGCCTTAACGTCTCCTTCCTGGGATGTGGTTAGGGAAAAGGGAGCAGAGCCCTGGGGGAGGGAATATCCGTGGCCCAGCTTTAAGTTTTGGAGAAGAGGGTTCTGTGGGCAGCACAAAAGTCCTGAGTAGCCTCATCCCAGGGTGAAGAGGCTGTCGAGGGCCCACACTGGTCAGCAAGACTCTTTCGGCCAGGGGCAAGAGAGGGGTGCCACGGGCAATCTGGATTGGGATGCCCGGGCCACAGTAAAAATGGAGACCGCGCCCCACGGCCAGTAGGGGTGGCCAACCCTGAGCACATACCTGTCCCAGGCCTCCTTCTGGAAGTCAGAGGGGTCCAAGCAGGATGGAGTCCAGGCTGAGGGCGCTTCTTCAGATGAGACCCACAGCCCTGAGAACATCCTCTTGGAGCACCCCTGCCCCCAGGGAGCCTCCCCGTACACAGCCAACCTCATATCCCCATGGAGAGGTCCAGGACTCACCCGCTAGGATGCTGACACGTGGGTGCCACCAGGCTCCACCACTGACACTTTTCCTTTGCCCGCCCCCCCCCCCCCCAGGAAAACAGCTTCTGCCAAGCGGTGGTGAGGATAAGCAAGCGTGTGGAGGCCCCGGTGCAAGGCCCGGCACATAGAAGCCGGTAACTGTTGGTTTCCCTTCCCCATCCGTCTTCGCCCACACTAGCTGTGTGACCTTAGACAAGTGACCTGACCTCTCTGATTAACTTCCTTCATCCAAAAAATGAGGTTGAGGCTTACTACCGAAGAGTGCTTATGATAGACCAGTGGGTGAAAGGTCTTTGGAGGTTGTTAGGTTGTGGTCCTCGGCTGCACCAGCGCAAAGGAGTGATGGGTAGGGTAGGGGCGAGTGAGCTGGGGACCCATTGGCTCTTAGTGAATCAGAGACCAGGCCTTGGCTATTTTTCCAGGGAGCTGTTGGCGATAAGCGTGGCCATGGCTGAGCTCCTAAGTAATGGCAGAGCAGGCCTGGGAGAGCCCCTGGGGGGGGGCTGCCTCTCCGTCCTCTGCCCTGCACAGCCGTCCTGAGCCTCTTTACGCCCTCCCGGGTTCTCTGAGGTTGGGTTTCTGCCTGGCCTTGGCCTCCTCATTAAGCCACACTTGAGCCAGCTCTCCCACAAACTGGGGTCTGTCCCTTTAAGGCAGACACCTGAGCCTGCAACTTGTGACTCTTCCTTGGAATCCCAGATTGGTTTTCACAGCTGGGCCGAGGGAGGGGGAGCAGCTGGTCCGGGTCTCCCTGAGAGGAAATCACTGCCCTTCCTGGCCCTGGGGTTCGGAGAGGCCGGGAATTATGCCTGCTTAGAATATTCATCATCAGGAGTTATGCCTGCTTAGAATATTCATCATCCATCATCATAATAGCTACCAACGGTTTGTCAGGTGCTGTAAACCGCTACCTCTTCCAAGCCCCAAGCAAGATCCTTGGAGGCCCTAAGCACTGACAAGACCTCAGGGTCCCAGGGCAAAAAGCCCCACCTCCCCTCTGCAATATGTGATTCAAAGTACAAGCTACACTGAACTCTAAAACCTGAATAAGGAAGTCCACCAAGATTCAGACTCTTCTCGTGGGAGCTACTTCAGTGCTGTCTATTAAACCAGATTTTTCTAAAAAAAAAAAACCTCAGCGCCCTATTTTGTTGCTGCCTCCAGCCTGCACTGAACACCTATGGGTGGCCCAGTCCCAGGCGTTAACGTCAGAATAACCTTAGCAGGTGAGGGTTGTCCCCTTTCCTCAGAGGATGACAGTGAGACCTTGGGAGGCCAAGGGACTTGTCCGAGTCACCAGTCAGTAAATGGCAGAGCCGCTACGAAGCTCCGCCCCACTTCCTGGCCATCCTCGTCCTGTGGGCTCAGTCTGGTTTGAGAGCACAGATTTGAGTCGTCTGCTTGGGCTCAAAAGCCAGTGTCATCATTTACTATTTACTACCTGGTGTCCTTGGGCAAATTTGTTCTCCCCTCTGCTTTTGGTTTCTTCCTCTTTCTTCGCGAAGTGGAAACCTTACTAATTCCCATTTCTGGCTGTGAGGGTCAAACTGCGCCCCGCTCAGCGCACCAGGCTCCTTTCCTACTGTTTGTATAGGACCAGGCCTTCTCCAAGCACTTGACCTGATGAGTCCTCACAGCAACCCATTTTACAGAGAGGGAGACTGAGGCAGTGAGCCATTAAGTAATTCCTCCCAGGTTACACAGCTAGTAAATGGTGGCAGTAGTAACAGCTGGCTAGTAGTTGTTGGGTCTTCCATACCGGTCGGGCCTTCCCTGGCCTGTTTGAATGGTGGGCACTTGCTGGGGATGGTCACTGTCCTTTCCCTCACCGAACCGGGCGTGTCCCCGGAGGGCAGGGCAGCATCGCGGGACACAGGTGTGCTGGGGCCTTCCACCGCCCACTCGGGCAGAAGGGAGGCGGCCTCTCAGCCCTCCCAGGCTCCGCC